ATTATGCAATTTATACCAAAAATACATGCAACAATTACCCATTAAAAAAAGAACACATTTATAGGCTATCTGCCAACACTTTGTTTAACATCACATAGGAAGACCATGACAAAGGCAGGTCTAGAAAGGACTTCCATGTGGCATTCACTTCCTTAATATGAAAATCCTCCCTTCCCTTTCTGCAATTGTTCCCTATATGAGAGTATTAAAATGATTCAATCCATGCCTTCCAGTGATATAACTTGCCTTTCAATATATCAGACAGAGATCTGAGACATGCAAACACTGACAAGCTCTGATCAAATCCTCCCTTCAACATCTCCTTAGAAAAACTGTGCAGCTTCCCAAATCTTTCACTACAAGGTATACTTTCCATGCTTGTAATTATTCTTGCAGTTCTTCTTTGAAATCTCTCTAATTTTTCAGTATTCTTGAATTTCTGGACAACGTACACAGTGTTGCAGTGAGGGCTATACCAGGACCTAAAAACAGAGGTAATATAATCCTCCTACATCATTTTCTGCTATGAATAAATGCTAGGACAGCAACAAATCTTTGGCTGCAGCTTTCTACTAGGAGCTCCAGTTCTGCCACTTTTCCACCCACAGTGCTTTTCAGAGTCAGTTCTTAGGAATGAGTTCTCCATCCTGTAACTACATTATTCCTACAGGAATAGCATCACACTTGGCTATTCATTAAAATATATACTGTTGGCTCATGCTTGGCTTACTAAGTGATTAAAATCCCTGCAAAGTCTGCCCTCCTTGTTACACAGTCACTTCTCCAATCTTTATTTCATCTGACTATTTTAGCAGTGATGGTTTGCTATTTTCTTTTACATCACTGATGTAAATAATAAAAAGCAGAGAGACAAAAGCTGATTTCTGAAGGTCTCAATTAGAAATATTCACTCAGTGCTGGTTCTTTGATTCATTTATACTTTTAAACATTCAACAAACTGCTTTTAATCCATTTAATATATGTCATGCTGAATTTTACTGCCCTCATTTGTTCATCAAAATGGTGCGCAAAGGGCAAATCAAAGGATTTTAAAAGTCAACCACAGCAATACTATTAGTCTTACCAACCAGACCTGTGCTCTCATCAAAGATATTACCTCCAAGTGTTTTCCTCCAACCTTGTATCAACAGTAATTTTTATTTCCATCTTTAAATGTTTCTATGAAACAAATTCCAACTAAGCCATTCTCCTTTATCATACACATCTAACTTCAATTACAATCTGGTCAGCAGTATTGATGGAGATTATTTAAACTTGGAATTTTAGAGGAAGACAGGTTTGTGGATCAAAGGAAGAGATTTAAGCCAAACAAAAGAATCATGTTAGTGTATTCAGTCAAATGGATTATGATAATAATACCATCCTAAGTTGCCACTTTTCATCAAGTGTACCAAATATCAGAAAACAGACCTGTATAGAGCAATTCCCCTTTAACTTTTGAAGGCATCAATACTCTAAATTTTTTTACAATGTATTAACTTAATAAAGTATATAAATCATACGTTTCACTGTTTATCAACAACAATTATTTTATCACATTCTCTCAATCAATACTTTCAAGCCAGTTATCCACTTCTCAGTATTTCTGCCAATGAAATGAACAACGATGTTCTGTACAATGGACAGAGATCAAGAATTTCTATAATTCAGTTCACTTCTTGGCCTTAACAACTTGTATCTGCGCCAACGGAGATATTCAAAGCAAAAAGATGGCAATCTTGTTTAGGAAGTATGAGGTAGGTTATTCTAGATAGTGGTCAAAGTCAATAAAAATAATTCTCATATCTAGAATGAAAAATTAGAAATTGTAATTTCATGTCACTTATGTTAGTACTCATTGCAACAACCACCTCTCTACAGTTAAGCAACACACTGAATAGTTCTGAGGTTAATAAACAATTGCAAGGATACCGGTGTTAGGAATTTTAGCGTGCAAAACATTTCATAATGATCAACTTGCTTTTCATGATACAATAACATTTCTTTTAAGTATCATATTATCTAAATATCATATTATCTTGCTAAAAAGAAAAAAATATAAACATAAGCTACATTTACCTAGTCCAACCAAAGCAGACTGATGCTAGCAATGTGCTGATGAAACGCATAAATATGTACTAGCTGCATTCCTTAGAGTTCCCTTTAATTTCTATAAAGAAAACTTAATTCTGAATTAATACCAGGATGAAGCAATCAAACCAGAAGCTTCCACTCATTAACAACAACTTTTACAATTTCAGCTTGTTTTGGAGGTAAAAACACCAGAAGTATTCAAAAATGGAAGAGGTGATTTTAAGGGAAAGACCTAACTTCCAGTGAAAATCCACAGCTACCAAGCAGCATTTGAATTGACAGCATAGAAGTTAGAGTGATATGAGTAGGCAGCTAAGCTACAGCATTGCAGCCAAAGGGAATTTTTTAAATGAAACAAATTGCGCTAACCGTAGACCAACAAAGCTTTTAAAATAAATGGAATCCCATTTAATGCATTTTTGTCCCCTAATTTCAATTATTTAAAAAACACAGTCGTCATTTTGTAATTGCTACTACAGGCAGTATCTCTGTAATTACTACAAGGAAAAGCAATTAGAAAGCTAAGCCTTGGATTCTTTTTTTGGGCAAAATTTCAACAAAAGTCTTTTAAATACTGATTCCAAGTTTTTCTTCAGAACATCTAAACTTTTATTCTCCCCGCCCCCATGCTGGGCTCAAGATAAGGGAGTTAAATATGTTCACTTTATCTATAGCTTCATCTCAGTGATTAACTGCCATATTTATTGACTTTTTATCATGTTGCTTTTCCTTCTGTGAACTGAATCCATCAAGTTTCCATTGGCCTTAAGAATATCCCAGGAAGTGAAACAGAAATGTTGACACAGCTTTGCTGTGTATATTCTCTAGTCACTACAAGCATGGAACAGTTATAAAATCAATTGTTGGTTTCTCTGAGCAAAGAAGAAAGATCAGAGACTCTCTTAGTTCTATCTGTGGTTCAGTATCTGATGGAGTATCACAACATTTTAAAAAAGTTATGGATTACTTTAAAAAATGTAAATTTAAGAAATAACAATAATGCACTATGCTGATCACTGAAAAAAAAATCTAAACCCAAAACAACTGCTGTTTGAGAAAGGATCTGAGGCATATTGAAACAGCCAAAGCAGATCTGTGATGCAGGTGGAAAATCAAATGCACTTTAAAAAATAAGACAATAATTTACTTTGCTAAATATAAATCTGTAAAGACTTTGATTTTATTGTTTTGGAAGTAAGTTATATGTGTTTTGATATCTAACTTGCTCAACAGGATTTCTGGCTACACAAATCTTAGCAAAATGGCAAGCACTTAGAAATTGCTTTTTAATGGATAATACCATGGCAGTAATACAGACGTATAACAAAAAACATCATACAGCATTTTTCATCACCGTAAGACAGAATGCAACTGAAAAAAGCCCTGTGAAAAGGACCATTTTGAGACTTCTACCCTCATATTGCGTCCTTCATACACCTTCAGTTTAAAGTATTTCACTATAAATCATTTCCAATGACTGTATAAACAACACATAAAGCCTCTATCAGTTATTTGATGTGTTACAAATAACCAAATGCAAGAGAGAAACTGAAAGGGGTTAAACGAGCTGCAAAAGGTCACATACATCAGAAACAATAAATCCTAAATTAACTTGCAGTTTTGCTGTCAAATTGCCAAGCTAATCCTGGCTAGACTTCCTTCAAAATAATTAAATCACCAGAAACCTAAATGTTGTAACATTGTAGGCTTTGCAGACAGTTTTGCATTTATCTTGTAACTGAAGTTTGCAATTTTTATAGATAACCATAGAGTATTAACTTACTTGACAAGCAGTATAATTTATGCTGGTGAGGTTATTTGTAGATTGTGGTACTATTGAAAGTGAGCAGAAGCACTCTTGCTATCATTAAGGTAACTGGCAACAGTCACATCATGAGAACAACGTGGCAAAGCACATTCAGCCTTTGGATACCCAGCATGTGCCTTGAGAAGACAAGTTATTTCTTTCTTATTTCTTTCTTTGGCTTATCTCAAATTCCCACACGCTTTTATTGGCACTACCAAAATATTGACAGTCATCCAGTGTTGATTTCATTTCTAACAGGAGAAGAAATGTAAACACCCAAGCTTTATGGATTACTACTTACTTTCAGGTTTTGCATCCACTACTGCATGATGCATCTCTTTCAGCTGGAGCTGCACTCTTTGCAGTCTCTGCTCTGCATGGAACAACTTTTGAGAGAGAATTGTACATATACATAAGCTCATTTGCTCATTCCTTTGCCATGTATATTCAAACAACAACCAAAACAAAAGAATATTAAAAAAGAATCCCAAGCACCAAAACCAAAAAGAACACCAGCAGCTTTAAGCACTTGGTGATCATTTGATTCACAAGCTAACATGCCAAAACATAATTTTCAACAATTGGCCTGGGTTTATTTGTTGTTCTCTAGAGTTAATCAAAGCAAGTACTATTCATGAACTACTCCCAAATGAGATTTTCTTTATAGCAGAAATTCATCAAACAATTTTTTAACCAAAAATATTAGTGTCCCAAATGTAACAACAACAAGAAAAGATAGCTAGAATCAGGACTGCAGTAGGTAGCTATACTGCAGTTCTTGAAATGCAGCTGAACTGTCACAGCAATCCACTGTTCGAACGCTGAGCCAAATCGAGAACACGCTGGAGAACTTGTTGCCAAACAACACCCAATTGATTAGTATTTCTGTGACTTAGAGAGATATGCATGAAAAAGTAGAATTAGCTGGATATCACAGTCATTTTAGTTGTAATCTCATCTCACTGGGAGCAAAGACCCAAGAGCTGAGAGCCTGTCGAGTAACATCCACATTGATTTGAAACCCAAATATAGACTACAATACCAGAAATCTGAGGTTTTTCCCTTTTAATACACCCTTCAAGTTCATGTTATATTTGAAAACAATAGAACTTAGTGAAATGATATTTTAATATGGCACTGGAGTTTGTTAAAAATATCTTGTTTTGACAACATCTCTCAGGAATAAAAATCTACCCTTAGATTGGGATGCCAATTGCTTCCAGTGCTTCCTGTGACACATCATCTTTGTCAGAAGACCAAAACCCTAGGATGCTCCTGAACACTGATCCTCCTCTCCAAATCACAGGGGAAAGCTGAGGTACTTGTTGTGTTACTTCCCATCCGAAATCTTAGTGCAAGTGCACAGAGATACAAATCAAGCTAAGGAAACATTTGCTCACAATCTTAACGCTAATGATCTCTCTCTGGGTGCTACAACAATAAGTCATGGAACATTTCCTGGGACTGCTAAACAATGATGTCAGTGGCAGCTGAGGCAGCCAAGTATCTTGAATGAGGTGTTCAAAACGTGCAGGGTCAAATCTTTTCTTCTGAAATGTATATAGATATTCTTATTTTAAATGGTGTTTAATTTTCTAGTGTTGGAAGAACAACTGCACAGTTATCTCTGATGTTATGCTTTCAATGCATTATCCCTAAACAGATGTCAACTCCCATTTATTTTAACGGGCCTACTTTCATGTCAATACCTGATTTTTTTGTTCTTGTTTCTGTTGAGCCAAAGATTCTTCTCTCTCTTTCTCTAAGCGAAGCTGTCTTGCTATTTCAAGCATTCGTTGATGATTTTGTACTGTCTCCACCTACAGCAAGTGGATAAATAGTGCATGTTACTGTCAAATAGTTGAGAAATATATTAAGGCGATCATATGTCTCACAAGCCCACTTAGCACTTCCTTTCCATACATGTTACTACTCAGAAATGACAGCAAAGCACTGGACTCAAGACTCTTAAAAGCTCTGGACTAATGCCTAGGGAGATTCCCCATGGGTCAATTAGTTATTCGATTCCTTCCTAGACATTCAGTATGTTTATCTTAATCCTTGTTTGCATTCCAAAATCAAATTGCAAGCCAAGGATTATGACACTGAAATAAAACAGTGTTACTTCTCTTATTACCCTCTTCTTAAGACGCTCCACTCTTTTGATGAGTTGGTCTTTCTCCTCTTCCATTGCACTGATATCCTGAAAAGCAGCAAAATTTGACACAGAAATGTTAATTTATTTACAATTTCATATACATTGCATGAAATTCTGTTCAAAACAATATGAAAATCAGAATTATCCTCTGAATAAACTGAAATGGTTGTAATTGCATAGATCTACGATCAGAGCATCCAGGATTCCAGATTCTCTTGACTTTTACTTGCCCCTCAATTCCCACTCTCTTTAACTGCATCCTTGAGTATTACTGTGAATACTTAAAAGCAGGTGTATTTCTCTAAAATAAAAACAAAACCAACTAAGCAAAACCAACAAGAATTCAACATCTGATAAAATCAAACATATGTTCTTAAATGTTACCATCATTACCCACATCCTGGCAAGCAATTTTGCCTAGGAGTGTTGTTTGCTGCCACTTTTTTCCATTGAAATCATTGAAAGTGTTCCACTGAAGTGTTAAAAGAGACGCTTGCTCGTTCTAAAGGATGGATCTGATTATTATTTTCCTTTAATCCTATTTTACAACAGCCAGACTCCACAGACTGATACAAATGAGAGAAAGGGAAATAAATGATGCAAATTTAGGCCTAACTCAACATCTTCTTAGCTTACGCATATGTCTCATTGGAAAGCTTAAATATTTTGCTGAAATAGGGCAATTATCTTTACTTAACACACACACAAGACCTTCTTTTTTGACTTAGGCCCTTAGTTCATTCAACAGCCTCTGAAATTATTACCCTATATCAGTAAAACAGAAGGTTTTAAATCAGTTGGTGTTCACAGGGAAAAGGAAGTTCTAATATTTGAAAATCATGCTGAACACAGTCTTGGCAGTCTTGTTTCCCAATCTGCTTCAGAAAATCCAGTTGCAAGCGTGAGCAATGGCTCTCTACCCTGTTTGCCAACAAAGAACAGTTTCAGAAAGGCAGCTGTAGTATCTATCAGTTATGACCTCTACAACATATGCACTGCAATGGGCCCAGAAAATCATACGATTTTGTCAGGTTTTTACCCTTCTTATTTCTGCAGTAGAGAAACCAGATGTTTTGAGCTGCTCACATTCCTTATGTAGGTTTTTGAATGCTTCCATAAGTTCTTCATACTATAAAATGAGGTAAAAACACACAAAAAATGAGCTCTGTGGATAAGGGTTTCCAGACCAACATGCTGCTTTATTTCTAAGACTATAAATATAAATGGTGAGTACAAGATTTGAAGAAAGTTTACCAACTTACAAAGCAAGTACAAAAAAAAATACTGAATTATCTTTTAAAACTTCGGAGTGCACCTTCAAGCAGTATGTTTTCACTGATTTCACCTCTTCCCTTGTAATACATAGTGTATTTTCAAAACAGGAAGACATTATCTGAAAGGAACAATGCTACATTAACAAATTATTCTACCTTATAATAAATCTGAGTACCTCACATATGTAAATTTTTCTGCCCACAAAGGAATGTCTTGATCTCACAAGACTCACTAGAGCCTTGATCTGAACACAGAGCCTTGAATTTATAGAATACCAAGCTACCACCTGGAAAAGTGGTCCAAGAGCACACCTCATTAAATACACAAGAAATCATTTTGATTATAATTGGGCACTGAGTCTTCCCACATTGCAGAATTGTGCCCTCAAGTATCTCTACATTACAGAGAACGATATACATAGTTTGATAGATGGAAAGAAGTAGACACTGTGCTACTTCCACACCAGTAAATTGCCCACCAGTAATGTTAAACTGAGAGGCAGTGTGAAAGTCTGTGTGGGTAGAGAAATAACAGGGGACAGAAAGAGTTTAGAAATCTGGAAAGGAAATAAATTTAGACTCAACTTGGAGAACTGCAAGCTAGGATATAGGAAAAAAATAATCTCTGCAGAAACAGCCATTCAGTAAGATGAAGAAATCTAAAAACAGAATATCAAGTACTTTTTTACTTTCTGGAAAGAGCAATTGATAGGAACACTGGGCACAAAATGGCAACAGCAGAGGCCAGTTCAAAGACGACGACATATTCCTGAGCAGTGAAGCAATGATCCTATTTTATAAACCCCTGGGGAGCCAGCATCTAGAATGCTCTGTTCATTTCTGGGCGTTTCAGTATCAAGCACATACTGACAAGCTGGAACGAATTCAAAGAATAACAATAAAATGGCTACAGACTAGATTGAGAAAAAGATAAAATAATTAAGAAAGTGCTTGATTAAATGGCATATAAAAGTTTGGTATGGTATATACAGGCTGGAGGGTGAAGAATGCATTACAAAAAAGCTGGAGTCAAAACACAAATGGCCTTCAGTCAGTTATACATTATAGAAGTTAAGTCCTTTAACAAATAATGAAGCAGTGTGTAGTCTCTGAGCAACCGCATTCATGCTCGCTGATCTCCAGCAGCTTTCCTCCCCGTGGATTCTCCGGTTCTTTCAAAAGGTGAGTGCACTGAGCCTTTCCCCTATCAGGGCATGAAATTTCAAGACCAAAGGCAAGAACTGAACCAAGGCGTAGCATGCTTTGCTGGAACATAACAAAGGGAAGGTTTCTCACTTTCATGGAATAAAGGACATTGTTAAACTGGCCCATCTGCACACACCCTACCTGAAATAATTAACATACACACAAATGACCAAAGAAAAACCACAGGTTCCAACAGTGGAGAGACTCCTGTCACCCAAGGGCACTGCATCCAAGGCTGAACAACCAGATCTATATCTGAAGATTTTTACTTTTAAAAAACAGACACTGCAGCCAATTTGATGTCCAAATCACAACACAACTGGGCAAGTGGCAACTCTCCCAAGCACTGGGTTTAACTAACATGGAAAAATACTTTTAAGATTAATACTCTACCCAGATAAAACATGACCATATTCTAACATTTCTAAACTCTCATATTTGAAATGTTTCTAATCATTACCTAATCTGTTACTATCTAAATATTTGCATGGTGACATTAAATTACACAAAAGCACTATATTATCCCAGTTTCTATTTTGAAATAGTCAGTAGGGTATTAGTATAATAAGATAGTTATATTACTGTAATCAAGAAGGAACACATCTTACATAACAGAAATAATGGAATTGGATATTTATACATATTGGGACTGCACTATACTGAAGACATACAATCTACATTTTTTTCTCTTATTGCTACTTCTGCTTAGTTATTATGAATTAGAAATTAGGTATTGTCAGCAGAAAAAAAAAGAAAAAGAAAATAAAAAGGGTTAGTGAAGCTTCAGGCAAGCAATATACCTTTGCTGCTTCACAGTTAATAAATGTAGTTACCTGTTACAAACATTCAAAAACACCATGATTTTGCAAGTCATTATATAAAACAAAAGGGGCAGAAAACTGGATAGAAAATAAGTAAATATATACCTCTGATAACACAAATCTAAAAATACATCTTTGGTTCACTTTACATTTCAGAGCCGCTCAGTTTGACTACTTAAGATCAACATTTAACACTTGCAAAAGAAGTGAAAACATAAAGAGTAGAAATGTCAGTCTAAGAAAAAGAAAAATTTAACTTACGCACAAAAAAGAATGGTTGAAGCAGAGATGGGATTAATCTAACACAAACATTAGAGACAAATTATTTAAACAATCAACAGAAAATTAGGAGACTATTACTTTTGGTCACAGTGTTGCCTGGATTGCTTAGAACTGATAATTAATAAAATTAAAATATCTATGTCATATTTCACAGCAAGAAAAAATAAGTGTTTAAAACAGAAGAAATAAAAAGCCCTTTTAGCCAATGTGATCTGAACATCATTTGGTACCCAGTATTTAATGTCTTTAAAAACTTTTAATGCAATGCAATATAAATATACAACTTTGGGGTTATGTGAACAAAAATACTCAAGAATACTATCTTTATTGTGAATCTTTGCTTACCCTTGATTCCAACATGTTTTTAACGTAACTCACTTAAACATTTCTATCTCATCAGTAACTTCCTCCTTCTACTGACACTTTATTTGATTAATACAAGATGTCGATATTCATGAAAAACACTACCTGTTTGTTGGTTTCAGCCACAGCATCATCCTGTAGGAACTCAGCTGGCACTTCCAGTTTTACTAAGAAACGTGCCAGATAGGCTCTTTTCTTAAGTTCGTTGGTCCTCTGAAGAAGCCAATGCAGGACAGGATGAATTACAGGTTTGCTTCCAGTAACTAACCCTTGGCGAAATGCACTCCTGGACAGCAACACAAAGCAAACATCAGCTACTACCAATAAATCTCAGACTAAAGAACACTGCCTTGGTACAAGCAATTTGCAGTATTTTGACATTCCCTATTTGTCTAATGGCTTTCTTAATGCTATTAAGAGAGAAAAGGTTCGTGATGCCAGTTTGCCATTTATGATTCTGCTTCTGCTATCTTGAGACAGACATAGCATCACACACCCGTAGAAAGGCCTGCTGCTGTGGGTCTTCCATTTCTGTGATATTCTGCAATAATAAAGACAGTCTGGGAAGAGTTTTCTGGATTTCGGGTTTTCTGGATTACAACCTGCTCTTGGAGGGCACAATGTGACCTCACTAGTCCGCTCTGGAAGGGAACTGACCCTGCTAGTCATGCGGCACCCTCTCCTGGTTGTCTCTGCAATAGCAGGTCTCAGGCAGGGCAGGCACGACTGAAGGGCAGACAACTGCAGCATCACCTATCCCTAAAAACGCTATTCTGTGGGGGACAGCAAAACAACCACCTTCAAAACGTGATCAAACAATCAATCAAAGCAGTCAAAATGTACACAACTATTGAATGGAGGTTATTACCATTGAAGATGTAGAACAATGCCAAATCATAGGAATAAACTTGTGATTAAATCAGAAAGTGAAATAATTTACTATGACCATCTACTTTTCAATGATAAAATGGTGATAGGATGAAGAGCAACTGTTTGCGGTATCTTTCAAGTAGCAAAATATTAGATGATGCACAGGTTTTGCTTGCCAAGCCATTTCAACACAGTTTGTCTTTAAGACAAGTTTGTTTTACCAGTATTTATAGACAAAAAGATACTTACAAGTCTGATATGCTTCCTGGAGGTTTGTATTTAAGGATACCAAGAAGACTCAACATTCTCTTAGCTGTTTGTTCTGGCATTTCCTCTCTAATGTCAACAGCATGCTAAGAAGTTAAAATGAAATAATTAACCAAGATTAGTACAAGTTGTATTAATTAACGGATAACACTAAAACACTTTCCATTTGATACATGATATGTAAATGCAGTGAGATGTTTCATAAGAAATGTGCTTTTATAATCAAATTATACTTCTCTTATAATGGGTTTTCCTCTAACCATGTGTTCAGGTCACTTTATTTCAGGAATCCTAATGGGTCCTCATCGATATAGACAAGCTGATTACTTTCATCTCAAAAGTCACCAATTGTGGCATGAGAGGGGCATGAACGATACCTTCCAATCGCACACACAGCTTTGGTGGCCTCGAGGGGGAGGCAATATCCGCTGCTACAGCTGAGTCACGGGGTTCAGATCCTGATCAGTTCAATATGTGCGTAAGACATGGCCTGACTTTTGTCTTAAGAATGCAATCATTGTCAGCATGAACAAAGTTAGGATCTGTATCATGATTTCCAAGGAAAAACAGGGAGTCATCAGTCTCTGGAGAACAAGGGTCCAGTATCTAACACCTAAAAAACATTTGCTAGTTTCCCCAAAACAAGTGGATATACAGGCAGAGAGGATTCTTGACGGGCACATTTATGCCTATGAAGATTCATACAAGCTATTTTGGTAAACTAAACACACCACAAGATATGCAGGGCCGGCCCCAGACAAAAGCATTCTGCGCAATTCCTGTGGCAGGCGCACGGCGGAAGCCGCTCGCAGTCACCCACATGCGACCACGGCTGCCCTCCATCCTTACCTTCGGGTCAATCTCCCCCAGCACATCGCTGAGCAGCTGCAGCAGCTGCATCGACTCCAAGGAGTCGAACGTAATCAAGTTGTAGCTCTTCTTGAAAGGCTCCTGATTGAGCTTCTCCACAATGAACTTGATTTGGTCACTCATGCTCGCGGCCAGGGAAAAAAAAAAAAAAAAAAAAAAAACTCTGCAGAGGAGACAGAGCAGTAGGCCGGAAGCCTCGTCAGGGCAGAGGGCTGCACTGCCCTCACAGAGGCCTCGCGCTAACACCCGGGCCCAGCAGGGCCCCAGACGCCCCCGCAGCCTCAGGGGGGACCCACGGCCTCCAAGGGCGGTCCAGACCCCTCACAACGAGGGCGGGTGGACAAAAGGGGCCTCAACTCCCCCGGCCTCCCCTCACGAACCCCGCGCGGGCCGCGCCTCCCCCCGCCCGCGCCGCTCCGTTACCCGGGTAACGGTTGCCAGGCCGGCCTGATGGCGTCACTTCCGACGCTGCCGCGCGCCTCGTCTAGAATGAGCGCGCAACGGGCGGGCGCGAGGGGGCGTCTGCGCGTGCGCAGAGCGGGGAAGCGGGGCGGGGGAGCGCGGTCTGTGGGAAGACGTGGTCGTCCGAATGGCGACGTGGCCGTGGGCCGTGGCCCTCGGCCTGCAGGCATAGGGTCTCACTGTGCCGTCCTGAGGGGATACACGGCACCATATTTAGGTTTGTGGATGGCTTGAGAGGCAGGGTAGGGGCCATGGTGGCAATGGTTGTGTGAACTGCATGCACCCTGCTGCAGAGCCCTTGAGGCAAGGAGGAACAGGAATAGGCTTGAAATTCACCATTTTATCTATATACTTAGTGTCATAGTTTCCCAAGAGGGAGGCTATCGTCACTTCTGTAGGAGATGTACAAACAGATTGGTGCCATTACCCAATTAAGATTCTGGCAGCCTTTGACAGCATTAAAAAAAAAAAAAATCTCAAGCGTGGTTCACGTTGCACTGTGAATGGTTATTCGGCATATCGGGTGAATGGCTATTTCAGGTCTTGAAGTGAAAAACTTTAAGTGTGAAGCTGGGGTGGCAGAGTGCTGCGCCTGGGCTTCCTTCATCAGAGCCGAATGGCAAATTCATATTCTTGAGTTTGCACATCCATTGCCAGCATGACTCAAAGTAGCAGTAAGTGTGGACTGCTGGCTATGCTAAATCTGAAACAGGGACAGGAGCTTCAAAAAGGCCCAAACAGTCAAAAATAGGCTGTGTATCAAAGTGAAACTTGTTTGTGAAACTGGTACCTCCAGTCTGCAGCTCTGTATTGTTGCAGATCATTCGGAGCCCATGTTTAAACATGAAATAGGAGGAATTTGGAGCCTCTGCCATTTCAGTTAGCTTCTTGGATTGTCTTAGAACCCCGTGTAAGTCCACAGATGATGGATTAAAATATGCAGTGAGTCATATTAAATTGAAGCCAATTGAAATGTACAGGTTGTAAATCACTGTAGAATTTGACTCGGTAAATAGCAATCATGAATGTAATACTTTGCAATTCTAAATACTGCATCCATCTTAGATTAGCTCCTTTCTTTCTTCTGAGGCATGAGAAGCACTTCACAAAATACTAATTTACTGATCTTTACAAGAAGCTTAAAATAGTGGTACTGCATTGCTGTCGTAATTTTTAACTGGGTAAGCTAAGTCACAGAGGGGATGGATGAGTTGCTTGTGATTGTGCCGTAAGGCTGTAGTAGAGCCAGGAACGTAATCCAAGTCTCCTGACTCCTGGATTTGAACTTTAAAAAGCAGATCATGTTTCCTTTGTGCTTTTAGTCTGTATACTGACCTTTAGGAATCATATTTACCTACAAGTTCCCAGAAGAGATCTACTTTCCCTTGACATGCTTTCCTGGTATCAATTGCACTCTTTTCTCTCGATGAGTATTTTGAGCATGGAGAATATACAGGGGGAGCAAATCAAACCAGTATTTTTTCTCATGGAGGTGTTGAGGGCCAGTTCTGATCCCTGCAAGCTTCATTAACTGGTAATTAAAAGTGATGGAGCCGTGTGAGTGCAGGGCAGTGCTTCCTTGAAGCTGGA